TAAAACCAACTGTAATTTATACCACCTTACCTGTTGGCACTTCTCCACAAAATTTGGTTTTGATTGGTCAATGTATGGCTATTTTAGAGTATGTTATAGACAGACTAATGGAAGACAGGATTTTTTATAGAGAGAGATAGAGTGAGATATATATATATATATATATATATATATATATATATATAGAGAGAGAGAGAGAGAGATAGATATATAGATAGATATATAGAGAGATATATAGTGAAATATATAGAGATATAAATGAGAGAAGATATAGAGAGAGAGAGAATGAGAGAGAGATATATAGGCAGAGAGATATAGGGAGGAGATATATAAGGAGAGATATAGATATAGAGAGAGATATAGAGAGAAGAGATATATAGGAGAGAGAGAGATAGAGGGAGAGAGAGATATAGGGAGAGAGAGAGATAGAGTGAGAGAGATAGAGTGAGAGAGATAGAGTGAGATATAGGGAGACAGGATGAGATATAGGGAGACAGGATGAGATAGAGATAGAGTGTGATAGAGGGAGAGAGATAGAGATAGAGAGAGATATAGGAGAGGTGAGAGAGATAGGGTGACATAGGGGAGACATGAGATAGAGATGGGGTGACAGGATGAGATGTGATATAGGGAGACAGGATGAGATATAGGGAGACAGGATGAGATAGAGATAGAATGTGATATAGGGAGAGTGAGATAGAGATAGAGTGTGATATAGGGAGACAGAGTGAGATAGAGATAGAGGAGATAGAGATGATATAGAGGGAGATAGATATAGACAGGGGAGATAGAGATAGAGTGTGATATAGGGAGACAGAGTGAGATAGAGATAGAGTGTGATATAGGGAGACAGAGTGAGATAGAGATAGAGTGTGATATAGGGAGACAGGAGGAGATAGGGGACAGAGATAGAGATAATATGTTTATAGGGAGACAGAGTGAGATAGAGATAGAGTGTGATATAGGGAGACAGAGTGAGATAGAGATAGAGTGTGATATAGGGAGACAGAGTGAGATAGAGATAGAGTGTGATATAGGGAGACAGAGTGAGATAGAGATAGAGTGTGATATAGGGAGACAGAGTGAGATAGAGATGATATAGGTGATAGGGACAGAGATAGAGGTGTGATAGGGACAGAGTGAGATGAGATATGGGGGAGACAGATGATATGGGGAGACAGAGTGATATGGGGAGACAGAGTGATATGGGGAGACAGAGTGTGATATGGGGAGACAGAGTGTGATATGGGGAGACAGAGTGATATGGGGAGACAGAGTGTGAAATGGGAGACAGAGTGATTGGGGAGAAAAAAAAAAAAAAAAAAAAAAAAAAGACAAAAAAAAGACAAAAAAAAGACAAAAAAAAAAACAAAAAAAAAAAAAACAAAATTAGTTTTGTAAATTGACATAATTACGTATGAATAAATGTTTACTTATCTAAGCCTCTTCCCTCACCTCAAATTTATCTGAAAATGTGAAAGTATTTTGCTGTAAGATATACAGTTGTTGGAATGTGTTATCACTTTTAATTTTGAACTAAATAACTGCATATATTTCAATTATTTTATAAGACTGTGCTATAAGGGTTTCACTGATCACTGGAATTAAATTCCAATGTTCCAATTTTGAACCTGAACTTCAATCTTTAAATTCATTTCCTCAAAAGAAGGCAACGATTTGGAGAGAAATATTTAATGTTATTATTTATCACGTCAAAGCCCAACTTGAGTGCAAAGACAGTTTCAAAATCAATCTGTCCTATCGTGGCAGTTGACCAGAGCCAAACATTAAGAGTAACAAATAATTTTTTTGTTATTTTAATCAATTCACCACAAGCAAGGTGATAATGTCACTAAGACTAAGGGGCTATTGGGAATGAAAGAGAAGTAAAAGACTCTAGAAAAGAACTGGCACATAATCTTAAACAGGAAAAACAAGGGGTAAACCTCTACACCTGTTCAAAAAATTTGGCTGGAGTGTGAACTGGATGCTTCATCTAAAAAAAAATAAATAAAATAAAATAATAAAAAAAAAAAAAAATAAAAAAATTAAAATGAAAAATAAAAAAAAAAATAAAAAAATAAAAAAAAAAAATAAAATAAAATAATAAAAAAAAATTTTTTTAAATGAAAAATAAAACAAATTATCACAAAAAAAGAGACATACACCTGCTATGATAATTAAAACTGCAGAAAGTATATGTCATTGGATTTAAAAGCTCTGAAAATGCATCACTGATTTTCTTTGAGATGGTGGTGTTAGCTATACAGGTTTTGGTTAATAAAATGATACTGTAATCAAGTGGTCTCAAGTTCAATTCCTCTATGAGATAATGAAATCCATATACTCTGGTTCAAATGGTATCACAAAATATTACCAGTCAAAAAATAATGGATTCCTGAAGATGGTCAGAGAGTAATTGGCCAAAACATTGTCCAAGGATGAAAACAACAGTTCAAATAAATGAAACAAGCCTAGATATATCAACAATTTCTCATTTTAAAAATCGAATAAAGTTATCAAAAAGCAGTACGAGTCTGCCATGATAACCAAATGTCAAAATCACCTGACACTGGAATTAAAGGCTCCTAAAATACACTATTGAAGTCCATTGCAATGGTGGCATAGTCAACAGTGATTTGGTATAATAATAATTGATTAATCAGTGCATTTAGATTCAATTCCTTAAGGATCAATTAAAGCAATTTCTTGAAACTAATTAACTTTTTTAATTAGTCCTTTTCCCTCATTTAATGAAATACAATCTTTTCATGTTTTAACTCCTATTCAATACCATAAAACCAGTTCTTTCCATATTTAGCTTTTAGACAAGCACTGTTAAGATGACTTTTTTTTGGGGGGGGGGATCTCAACCTGTACAAATGAACTACTACCCAATTTATCATACCTGAAAGATCCAAAAAAGACTATATAATTTCTAAAAAAAAAAAAAAATTTTTTTTAAAAATTGCAAATAATTTTAAGAAAACTACTTGGATTTTTTTTTTAATTTAATCTTTCAGTACAGCTATTCTCCACATGTAAAGTTATGTCTATTGAAACTTTCTGTATTAACCCTTTAGCATTCAACATGCTCCCCGCCCACCCTGTCAATATCAGCTCTCAAAGTCTCACTGTGTAACTTTCTGTATTACTTGCAATGATGTCATCATATAACATGGCAGAATATACATGGAGTGGGCTACAGCAGGTTGAACATAGAGAGTCAATATTTATAGGGTAGATTGAACTCTAAAGTGTCATGCAAGGGTCAGTGCTTGCTTTCCAAAAGGTTATCATCATTTTTGCACACTCTGGGAGAAAGTTCCTCACACCAAGACAAAAAGTTCATATAAATATATGTATGCAAATCCTTCATTTTTGAGTTATTAAATTTAAAGAAAGTTCACAGCAGCTGGTGCTGTGTTGCCATGTAGACTAGGTTACATTTGTCATTTGTGTACATTTGTGGTTAGTCTATCTTCAACATTTAACATGTGTAGTAGTGAGTTAACTGCGAAAGAGTCAGTTTAACAATAGCAGGATATTCATACCATGAGCAGGCAAATATGATTTTTACATAAGGCCACATGAGTGGTAATGGATGTGAGGCTGCACAGCTGTATCAGATTGCGTTTCCAGACCAAAAGCAGCTGAGTCATCCAACCATTGCTGTTGTTTATTATTGTGTTGCCAAGACAGGATCCATGGCACCATAAACTATGGATAAAGATCAGCTCGTATGCCTGACCATGAAGAACACATTCTACAGGCTGTTGAAGACAATCCAGGTATCAGCACATGTCCTACATCTCATAGCATGGCAGGTATTTCAAGAACAGCTCCTCTATCCATATCATTTGCAACATGTGCAGAGTCTTTCACCCTCTGATCACCCACCATGAGAGAAGCTTTGCTGATGGTTTATTGCACAAACAGCTGATCCATTTTTTGTCTCTTCAGTCTTGTTTACAGATAAGGCAACATTTGGAGAAGATGAAATAACAAATTTACACAACCAACACTTGTGGGCAGATTGGAATCCCCATAGTACAATACAGGCCAGACACTAGCATCAGTTTATGATTAATGTGTGGGCTGGAATTGTAGGTGACTGTTAAGTCCATATGTTCTCCCAACATGCCTGACAGAAGCTGTCTACAGAGATTTTATTTTGAACACACATCCAGACCTGCTAGAGGATGTATCCCTGCTAATACAAAGACACATGTGGTTCATGCATGTTGGAGCTCCAGCACACATCAATGCACTGGCTGACATCTACCATGAAAGATGGATAGTAACTGAGGACTGGTTGCATGGCTGCATGTTTTGACCTCAATTCTTTGGATTTTTATCTCTGGGGGCCACCTAAAACAATTGGTTTATGCAGCAGACATTAATACTGCAGAAATGTTTCATCAACATGTCATGGGAGCCTGTGAAACCATTCAACACCATGGGGAAGTATATCAACGAGTCAACCAGTCAATGATCTGACAGGTGCATGTATGTGTGTAGAAGCAAGCAGAGAACATTTTGAACATTTATTAAAAGTTGCTGTGTTGAGGTACAAAGATGGTCTTTTGGACACACGTTTCTATGGACATTTTACCTTGTTTTGGTGTCAAGAACTCACCCCCAAAGTTTGTGAAAGGAAGACTTAAATTCTGTTTCATCAAATAAGCAATATCTGATGCTCAACTTTTTTTTTGGTGAGGGCATTAACTGTTTTTAACCTTGTAACCTCTATGACCAAAGTAAGCAGATCACATACAAGGTGAAATTTACAGAGTTTATCAATTTTAAAAACATTTAACAGGGGCCTTCAGTGTGACTATTTGCAATCTCGTCATGAGAAAAGGATTTGGTAAAAGATCGTAATTCACCAAATTCAATGCATTATTCTCCTTTGTCTTTCAAACTCAATATACAATAATACATAATTTTGCTATGTTAACATTTCAGAAGTTTTCTCTACCCTATTATAGGTAATATGTTGAAACACTGGTTCTCATATGATCACCAAAGTTAAGCAATGTTGAGCTTGGGTTGTATCTGGATGGGTGACTGCTTGGAAGTATGGGT